CGAATTTTACGAAACAGAATCAGCGTTTCTCTTCGGCGATTCACTTTCGCCGCGTTCTTAATTATTTCTTCGACCGATTTCGGCGTCCGTTTTTATTATTATTTCGTCCGTTATTTCCGTTCCTATTTGGTTCCGCGTATTTTTTACCGAGCTCCAGGCGCAGCAAATTCGCTCCAATTTTCTGTTCGGCTCGGACAAAGCTGGATCCGAAAAATGGACGATTCGGGAAGGGGGGATTCGATTTTAGGAGCTTCGCGTCTCGTTTTTACAATTCGTCGACGATCGGCGGGCGTGAAAACGAGCCGCGACGGGTCGAACGAGCGCGTCTCTTTTCTTTCGAAAAGTGGACATTTTCGTTTACACGCTGCAGGAAAATCGGGGAGAATTTACCGCGCACCGCCCTTCGAATAATTCTTTGTTCGAACGATTCGTGGCTCGAACGATTCGCAGTTCGAATCGTTCTTTACTCGGATAATTCTCTGTTCGAACGATTCGCTGTTCGAATAATTCTTTGCTCGAATAATTCTGTATTCGAGTAATTCTTTACTCAAATAATTCTGTATTGGAACGATTCGTTGTGCGAACAATTCTTTACTCGAATAATTCTGTACTGGAATAATTCGTTATTCGAACAATTCGCTATTCGAATAATTCTTTACTCAAATAATTATGTATTCGAATAATTCTTTATTTGAACAATTCGTTGTTCGAATGATTCTTTATTTGAACAATTCGTTGTTCGAAGCGTCGAGAAAACGCCTAAATCGCCGGTCGACCTTCGCGGCAAGGAGATCCCGCGTGGGTTTCAATAATCCAGGCTTTTTAATTAGGAAAACGCGAGCCGGCGGTCGCCGACCACGGAATTTCTCGCGAGCGGAACGGGCATCGCGAATTCGCGCCGCGCCGCGCCGCGCTCTCGGCGGCAGCGGCCGCGTTCCCTTTGATCAGCAGAACGTGAAACATTGGTTCGAATGGCGAACAGCGACAATCAAAGGGCAAAGTTGGTCAGGCTCGTACTCGATTCCGCGGCAGTCCCGGTTTTCAACGCCGCCTCGCCGCTCGCCGCGCCGCTAGAAATTGGGTCCCGGCGCCCCTTTCCACCGCCGTTTCAACCCCCTTTCCGCGCTCCCACCCCCTCCGCGGAGCCCCCACGAATACATTAAACTCTGCGGCCACGGCGTGGCGCGGCGTGGCCAGGCCAATTTTCCACGCTTTCTTGCAGCCGGCCGGGGACCGACTCGACTGGCCGAGGCTATCTCTCTTTGCTCCCTGAAATCTGGCCAGATGGGGCGAAAGCGGATGAAAAGAGGAAAAGAGGAAAAGTCGTCTTCTGGGTTACTGGGGGAGTTACGGCCGGCATTTCTGGCCGCCCCGGCTTTGCGAACTTTAACCCCTTCAGCCGCTGTCCGGACGACGAGGAGCTGGCTGAATGCGCGTTGATAAGCGGACCGCGGATTCTCCGCAGTCCTCGTGGAAATATCGAGCGATTTCTCGAGCGGAAGGTCTTTGGAAAATTACGCCGCTTTCGTGTATTGTGTTCCTGGTGAAAATTGTTATTTCACCGTTGTTCGGTTTTCTGTAAGTTAAATGTTTCTTTTTTGGGTTAAATGTTCTTTTTATTGGAATAAAAGAGTAATTTGAGTAAAGAATTACTCGAATAACGAATTATTCGAATACAGAATTATTTGAGTAAAGAATTATTTGAATACAGAATTATTTGAGTAAAGAGTTACTCGAATAGCGAGTTGTCTGAATAAAGAATTGTTTGAATAAAGAATTATTCGAATAAGGAATTATTCGAACACAGAATTATTTGAGTGAAGAATTATTCGAATACAGAATTATTTGAGTGAAGAATTATTCGAATACAGAATTATTTGAGTAAAGAATTATTCGAATACAGAATTATTTGAGTAAAGAATTACTCGAATACAGAATTATTCGAGCAAAGAATTATTCGAACAGCGAATCGTTCGAACAGAGAATTATCCGAGTAAAGAACGATTCGAACTGCGAATCGTTCGAGCCACGAATCGTTCGAACAAAGAATTATTCGAAGGGCGGTGCGCGGTAAATTCTCCCCGATTTTCCTGCAGCGTGTAAACGAAAATGTCCACTTTTCGAAAGAAAAGAGACGCGCACGTTCGACCCGTCGCGGCTCGTTTTCGCGCTCGCCGATCGTCGACGAATTGTAAAAACGAGACGCGAAGCTCCTAAAATCGAGTCTCCCCTCCCCGAATCGTCCATTTTTCGGATCCAGCTTTGTCCGAGCCGAACAGAAAATTGGAGCGAATTTGCTGCGCCTGGAGCACGGTAAAAAATACGCGGAATCAAATAGGAACGGAAATAACGGACGAAATAATAATAAAAACGGACGCCGAAATCGGTCGAAGAAATAATTAAGAACGCGGCGAAAGTGAATCGCCGAAGAGAAACGCTGATTCTGTTTCGTAAAATTCGAGTTATTCTT